TCACACTTGACCTCTTTTAACCTTTCCTTATATTTTGGCTTTCCAATTGATGTTGGCTCTGACCTCTTGACATTCAATTGACAGTAAGCAGAGATGCTGAGACAGTTCAGAAGGAACATCACCAGGAGCCACAGCAACAGCCAAGGAAGCTTATATGGAAGTATTTTTGATTTTCATTTTCTTTCCCCTACCCCCTGCTGACTCTAACATAACTAACCCTCACCTTCCCTTTCCCCCTCATTTCATCTTCCTGAATTAATTGCCATTGTTTTCTGCTTTTTCAACTAATTGTGTGGTACTGATTTTTACCACTTGAATTTTTGTGATTTGTTGCATTGTTTTGAAGTTTTACTAATCTTCTGCCAGTTTTATACTTTCAGGAACTCAGAAGAGGGACAACGATGGAGGAGCAAGGTCGTCCAACAGAAAAAGACAAGACGACGAGTCCATTTCTCAGCTATATACAGCAGTCAGCATGGCCCAAAGTGGTAAGTAACAAACTGCTTATTTAGATGAAGTTTTCCACTTGGTAAGAAATGAGAGTGATTCCCCTTTGATGTGTCTGTTTTCTCTTTTCAAGCAGAAGAAAGTTGAGATTGACCAGGATGCTGAAGTGCGGAGAAGTACCTCTCCTATTTAACAGCATTCGAGAAAAGAAAGTACGGTAAGATTCACACTTGACCTCTTTTAACCTTTCCTTATATTTTGGCTTTCCAATTGATGTTGGCTCTGACCTCTTGACATTCAATTGACAGTAAGCAGAGATGCTGAGACAGTTCAGAAGGAACATCACCAGGAGCCACAGCAACAGCCAAGGAAGCTTATATGGAAGTATTTTTGATTTTCATTTTCTTTCCCCTACCCCCTGCTGACTCTAACATAACTAACCCTCACCTTCCCTTTCCCCCTCATTTCATCTTCCTGAATTAATTGCCATTGTTTTCTGCTTTTTCAACTAATTGTGTGGTACTGATTTTTACCACTTGAATTTTTGTGATTTGTTGCATTGTTTTGAAGTTTTACTAATCTTCTGCCAGTTTTATACTTTCAGGAACTCAGAAGAGGGACAACGATGGAGGAGCAAGGTCGTCCAACAGAAAAAGACAAGACGACGAGTCCATTTCTCAGCTATATACAGCAGTCAGCATGGCCCAAAGTGGTAAGTAACAAACTGCTTATTTAGATGAAGTTTTCCACTTGGTAAGAAATGAGAGTGATTCCCCTTTGATGTGTCTGTTTTCTCTTTTCAAGCAGAAGAAAGTTGAGATTGACCAGGATGCTGAAGTGCGGAGAAGTACCTCTCCTATTTAACAGCATTCGAGAAAAGAAAGTACGGTAAGATTCACACTTGACCTCTTTTAACCTTTCCTTATATTTTGGCTTTCCAATTGATGTTGGCTCTGACCTCTTGACATTCAATTGACAGTAAGCAGAGATGCTGAGACAGTTCAGAAGGAACATCACCAGGAGCCACAGCAACAGCCAAGGAAGCTTATATGGAAGTATTTTTGATTTTCATTTTCTTTCCCCTACCCCCTGCTGACTCTAACATAACTAACCCTCACCTTCCCTTTCCCCCTCATTTCATCTTCCTGAATTAATTGCCATTGTTTTCTGCTTTTTCAACTAATTGTGTGGTACTGATTTTTACCACTTGAATTTTTGTGATTTGTTGCATTGTTTTGAAGTTTTACTAATCTTCTGCCAGTTTTATACTTTCAGGAACTCAGAAGAGGGACAACGATGGAGGAGCAAGGTCGTCCAACAGAAAAAGACAAGACGACGAGTCCATTTCTCAGCTATATACAGCAGTCAGCATGGCCCAAAGTGGTAAGTAACAAACTGCTTATTTAGATGAAGTTTTCCACTTGGTAAGAAATGAGAGTGATTCCCCTTTGATGTGTCTGTTTTCTCTTTTCAAGCAGAAGAAAGTTGAGATTGACCAGGATGCTGAAGTGCGGAGAAGTACCTCTCCTATTTAACAGCATTCGAGAAAAGAAAGTACATGTACGGTAAGATTCACACTTGACCTCTTTTAACCTTTCCTTATATTTTGGCTTTCCAATTGATGTTGGCTCTGACCTCTTGACATTCAATTGACAGTAAGCAGAGATGCTGAGACAGTTCAGAAGGAACATCACCAGGAGCCACAGCAACAGCCAAGGAAGCTTATATGGAAGTATTTTTGATTTTCATTTTCTTTCCCCTACCCCCTGCTGACTCTAACATAACTAACCCTCACCTTCCCTTTCCCCCTCATTTCATCTTCCTGAATTAATTGCCATTGTTTTCTGCTTTTTCAACTAATTGTGTGGTACTGATTTTTACCACTTGAATTTTTGTGATTTGTTGCATTGTTTTGAAGTTTTACTAATCTTCTGCCAGTTTTATACTTTCAGGAACTCAGAAGAGGGACAACGATGGAGGAGCAAGGTCGTCCAACAGAAAAAGACAAGACGACGAGTCCATTTCTCAGCTATATACAGCAGTCAGCATGGCCCAAAGTGGTAAGTAACAAACTGCTTATTTAGATGAAGTTTTCCACTTGGTAAGAAATGAGAGTGATTCCCCTTTGATGTGTCTGTTTTCTCTTTTCAAGCAGAAGAAAGTTGAGATTGACCAGGATGCTGAAGTGCGGAGAAGTACCTCTCCTATTTAACAGCATTCGAGAAAAGAAAGTACGGTAAGATTCACACTTGACCTCTTTTAACCTTTCCTTATATTTTGGCTTTCCAATTGATGTTGGCTCTGACCTCTTGACATTCAATTGACAGTAAGCAGAGATGCTGAGACAGTTCAGAAGGAACATCACCAGGAGCCACAGCAACAGCCAAGGAAGCTTATATGGAAGTATTTTTGATTTTCATTTTCTTTCCCCTACCCCCTGCTGACTCTAACATAACTAACCCTCACCTTCCCTTTCCCCCTCATTTCATCTTCCTGAATTAATTGCCATTGTTTTCTGCTTTTTCAACTAATTGTGTGGTACTGATTTTTACCACTTGAATTTTTGTGATTTGTTGCATTGTTTTGAAGTTTTACTAATCTTCTGCCAGTTTTATACTTTCAGGAACTCAGAAGAGGGACAACGATGGAGGAGCAAGGTCGTCCAACAGAAAAAGACAAGACGACGAGTCCATTTCTCAGCTATATACAGCAGTCAGCATGGCCCAAAGTGGTAAGTAACAAACTGCTTATTTAGATGAAGTTTTCCACTTGGTAAGAAATGAGAGTGATTCCCCTTTGATGTGTCTGTTTTCTCTTTTCAAGCAGAAGAAAGTTGAGATTGACCAGGATGCTGAAGTGCGGAGAAGTACCTCTCCTATTTAACAGCATTCGAGAAAAGAAAGTACGGTAAGATTCACACTTGACCTCTTTTAACCTTTCCTTATATTTTGGCTTTCCAATTGATGTTGGCTCTGACCTCTTGACATTCAATTGACAGTAAGCAGAGATGCTGAGACAGTTCAGAAGAAACATCACCAGGAGCCACAGCAACAGCCAAGGAAGCTTATATGGAAGTATTTTTGATTTTCATTTTCTTTCCCCTACCCCCTGCTGACTCTAACATAACTAACCCTCACCTTCCCTTTCCCCCTCATTTCATCTTCCTGAATTAATTGCCATTGTTTTCTGCTTTTTCAACTAATTGTGTGGTACTGATTTTTACCACTTGAATTTTTGTGATTTGTTGCATTGTTTTGAAGTTTTACTAATCTTCTGCCAGTTTTATACTTTCAGGAACTCAGAAGAGGGACAACGATGGAGGAGCAAGGTCGTCCAACAGAAAAAGACAAGACGACGAGTCCATTTCTCAGCTATATACAGCAGTCAGCATGGCCCAAAGTGGTAAGTAACAAACTGCTTATTTAGATGAAGTTTTCCACTTGGTAAGAAATGAGAGTGATTCCCCTTTGATGTGTCTGTTTTCTCTTTTCAAGCAGAAGAAAGTTGAGATTGACCAGGATGCTGAAGTGCGGAGAAGTACCTCTCCTATTTAACAGCATTCGAGAAAAGAAAGTACGGTAAGATTCACACTTGACCTCTTTTAACCTTTCCTTATATTTTGGCTTTCCAATTGATGTTGCCTCTGAACTCTTGACATTCAATTGACAGTAAATCAGAGATGCTGAGACAGTTCAGAAGGAACATCACCAGGAGCCACAGCAACAGCCAAGGAAGCTTATATGGAAGTATTTTTGATTTTCATTTTCTTTCCCCTACCCCCTGCTGACTCTAACATAACTAACCCTCACCTTCCCTTTCCCCCTCATTTCATCTTCCTGAATTAATTGCCATTGTTTTCTGCTTTTTCAACTAATTGTGTGGTACTGATTTTTACCACTTGAATTTTTGTGATTTGTTGCATTGTTTTGAAGTTTTACTAATCTTCTGCCAGTTTTATACTTTCAGGAACTCAGAAGAGGGACAACGATGGAGGAGCAAGGTCGTCCAACAGAAAAAGACAAGACGACGAGTCCATTTCTCAGCTATATACAGCAGTCAGCATGGCCCAAAGTGGTAAGTAACAAACTGCTTATTTAGATGAAGTTTTCCACTTGGTAAGAAATGAGAGTGATTCCCCTTTGATGTGTCTGTTTTCTCTTTTCAAGCAGAAGAAAGTTGAGATTGACCAGGATGCTGAAGTGCGGAGAAGTACCTCTCCTAAAAGAAAGTACGGTAAGATTCACACTTGACCTCTTTTAACCTTTCCTTATATTTTGGCTTTCCAATTGATGTTGGCTCTGACCTCTTGACATTCAATTGACAGTAAGCAGAGATGCTGAGACAGTTCAGAAGGAACATCACCAGGAGCCACAGCAACAGAGGAAGCTTATATGGAAGTATTTTTGATTTTCATTCGAGAAAAGAAAGTAACCCTCACCTTCCCTTTCCCCCTCATTTCATCTTCCTGAATTAATTGCCATTGTTTTCTGCTTTTTCAACTAATTGTGTGGTACTGATTTTTACCACTTGAATTTTTGTGATTTGTTGCATTGTTTTGAAGTTTTATCTTTGCCAGCTTATACTTTCAGGAACAAGGTCGTCCAACAGAAAAAGACAAGACGACGAGTCCATTTCTCAGCTATATACAGCAGTCAGCATGGCCCAAAGTGGTAAGTAACAAACTGCTTATTTAGATGAAGTTTTCCACTTGGTAAGAAATGAGAGTGATTCCCCTTTGATGTGTCTGTTTTCTCTTTTCAAGCAGAAGAAAGTTGAGATTGACCAGGATGCTGAAGTGCGGAGAAGTACCTCTCCTATTTAACAGCATTCGAGAAAAGAAAGTACGGTAAGATTCACACTTGACCTCTTTTAACCTTTCCTTATATTTTGGCTTTCCAATTGATGTTGGCTCTGACCTCTTGACATTCAATTGACAGTAAGCAGAGATGCTGAGACAGTTCAGAAGGAACATCACCAGGAGCCACAGCAACAGCCAAGGAAGCTTATATGGAAGTATTTTTGATTTTCATTTTCTTTCCCCTACCCCCTGCTGACTCTAACATAACTAACCCTCACCTTCCCTTTCCCCCTCATTTCATCTTCCTGAATTAATTGCCATTGTTTTCTGCTTTTTCAACTAATTGTGTGGTACTGATTTTTACCACTTGAATTTTTGTGATTTGTTGCATTGTTTTGAAGTTTTACTAATCTTCTGCCAGTTTTATACTTTCAGGAACTCAGAAGAGGGACAACGATGGAGGAGCAAGGTCGTCCAACAGTCCCAGGCTGAAAGACAAGACGACGACGAGTCCATTTCTCAGCTATATACAGCAGTCAGCATGGCCCAAAGTGGTAAGTAACAAACTGCTTATTTAGATGAAGTTTTCCACTTGGTAAGAAATGAGAGTGATTCCCCTTTGATGTGTCTGTTTTCTTTCTAAGTGTGGAAGAGTCCCTTTCCCATTCCACTGCAACCATGAGGAGAATACTCGTAAGATTCAGACTCAGATTCAGGACCCACCTTTAACAGACAGGAACCTTTCATGAAGTATTTTTTATTAGCTCACCTGAGCCGGAGGCTCAAGTGAGCTTTTCTGATCAAAATTTGTCCATTCTGTCGTCATTGTTGTTGTGTCATCGTTCACTTTTCACATTTTCATCTTCTTCTCAAGAACCACTGGGCCAATTTCCACCAAACTTGCCACAATTATCCTTGGGTAAAAGGGATTCAATTTTGTTCAAATGAAGGGCCATTCCCTCTTCCAACGGGAGATACTTATGAATTGGTGATAAAATAATGATATCTTTTAAAAATCTTCTTTTCAAGAACCAGTGGGCCAGGAAAGATGACACTTATGTGGAAGCATCCTCATGTAGTGTAGATTCAAATTTATTCAAATCATGACCCCTGGGGGTAGGGCGGGGCCACAATGGGGTATTAAAGCTTAAAATAGGAAAAATCTTTAAATAATTTTCTCAAGAACCACTGGGCCAGGAAAAATGAAACTTATGAAGAAGCATCCTCTAGTAGCGAAGATTTCAGTTTTTTAAATCATGACCCCTGGGGGTAGGGTGGGGTCACAATGGGGTATCAAATTTTAACATAGGAATACATAGGAAAAGACTTTAAAATCATCCTCTCAAGAACAGCAAAGCCATGATTAGTCATAGTTATATGGAAGCATCGTCTGGTAGTGAAGATTCAAATTTGTTTAAGTCATAACCCCTGGGGCAAGGGTGGGGCCATTAAAGGTGATGAAACTGGGATAACATAAAAAAAAACACATTTAAATTTCTTCTTCCGGAGAACAGCAAAGTTGTGATTGGTCATATTTAATATATGAAAGCATCCTCGGGTAGTGTAGATTCAAGTTTGTTCAAATCATGACCCCTGGAGTAGAGTGGGACCAAAATGGGTTATCAGAGTTTTGCATAGGAATACATGGGGAAAATTGTTAAAATTCGTGACAAAGCCATGAATGATCATCAATTTAAAAGCGTCATTAAAATGGATCATAACAATAAACAACAAAGTCATTTTGTGTCATGTTAATTCAAAAACATTCCAAGGAAGTGTAAATTTAAGTTTGTTCAAATCCCCCCCCCCCCCACTCCTCCTCCCTCGAACCCACTTTTATAATATATTCAAACATTTCAATACTGAACTTACTGTATGTTTTCTTATAATGGAGAGCTTTATATTTTATAATTACGCCAACAACTCCATATCCATTGATTGCGCTAAATTTTGAATACACCAAATTATGTATATATACAGTATTTTTGTATTTACCTAACTAGTTGCTCAGGTGAGTGATGTGGCCCCTGGATCTCTTGTTTAATTATTTCTGACTTATCTTTTTCCTCCTTACTCTAAAATAACTATGCCTCCCTCTCCTCGCCCCAATATCCCACCTTATTACTATCCCAACTTTATTGTCTTCATTTGCATATTGATTTTCCAGCTAATAATGTTGAAATGATTACCAGTATGTTCATATGATTTCTTTTTATTGTTGTATTGCATTGAATTATTGTTTTTCTTCTCTCAATCATGTATTTTCAAGGACTTTGACAAGGGAAGAAGGAAGAAGACTAGTGCTGACAAAGAGAAGAAGAAGATTCCATTGCCAAGCTTTGTCTAGCAGCCAATATATGATTAAGGAGTTAGTTAATAGCTTTCTTGGCAATATTCAAATTTTCCTTATACTTGTTATTCAATTTTTTTCAAATCATGGGTCCAGGAAGATTTACTTCTGCTGCACAACAGCAAGATTGTGTTGCCATAACACTGTGGGATCCAGAGGATTCTTGAATCAAACTATGTTATATCATGATCCCTTTGGACTAGGATTAGTAAAAATATGGAAAGAATTTTTGTTCTGATGACAAGGTCAAGGTGACTGAGGTGAACTTTTTGCACAAGGTCCTCTTGTTAATTTTTAGCTCTACTGGTCAGAGACCAGAAGAGCTTATGCAATAGTAATGCGTCTGTCGTCCGTCCGTCTGTCTGTCTGTAAACAATTTTTCAAAATGCTACTCCTCCTACAGTTTTGGTCCGATTTCAATATAACTTGGCACACAAGTAGATTACACTAACATACATAATTCTCGGCATCAGTTTCTGATTTCGATGAACGGTGTTGCCATGGTTACTAAAAATAGAAATTTCTGTAAAATTCTTTCAAAATGCTACTCCTCCTACAGTTTTGGTCCGATTTCAATATAACTTGGCACACAAGTAAACTATACTAAGATACATAATTCTGTGCATCGGTTTTTATTTTGATGAGTGGCAAGAATCATTTTTCTATTTATTGCTGTTTTAAAGTTTCAAGTCCCAACTGCTACTTTTCTCTTCCTTTGTTTTAAGTATAAACCAGTAGAGCTACTCTCGACAGAGACTTCTGGTTAATGATCTTTTGGATTTTCTTTGTTAACAGGCAGAAGACTGACCTCAATTAGTGAACAAGACTGTGGAGATGAAGGACTAACTTCTGTCTAACGTAAAATTGATGGCAAGAAAGTTCTCAAGCTTTATGCCTTTCATTATGTGAATTAGATGAGACTATGACTCATTTCTTGGATTCCTGGTGTCTTTTTTTGTTATAGGCATGCAGGCGGTTATGCTGACATTGATCCCATTTCTGAGAGTAGGTCGACATGATTCAGCAAGAGTCAAAAGAGATCAACTAGAACCTGAAAATAAAGGTAAGACACAAGCTCTACAAACTCCTTCTACTCTGTGAAAATGTTACCACTTTCGCATTTATTAAAATTTTATCAATATTTTTTGTTGATCCTCATTATTTTGTTTCTTTACATAGTGTTTCTATGATAGCCAACAAATATGCCTCAATAATAGTGCAGAGAGTAAGGTTTGGACTGCAACCTGATGTAGTCTGATTTAAAAAAAACATAAGAGTCAGGACAAGGAGGAACCATTTACACCTTTTGCTTCAAATTGAACAAATTAGATAAATTAATCCACAGAATTCAATGGACAGTGCTGAGTACATTGTTATCTACAAAGTGATGGACACACTAAATAACTAAACCAATGGAATTCAATGGACCATGCTGAGTATGCTGTTATCTACAAAGTGATGGACAAACTAAATAGCTAAACTCACAGAATTTAATAGACCATGCTGAGAACATTGATAATTATAAAGTGAAAGACACTTCAAATAGCTTAACTCACAGAATTCAATGGACATACTGAGTATGTTGTTATCTACAAAGTGATGAACACACTAAATAACTCGAATTACAGGATTCAGTGATGGATACACTAAATAGCATAACTCACAAAATTCAATGGACATGCAGTGCTGAGTACATTGTAACAGCAAAGTGATGAACACACTAAATAACTCAACTGATAGGTTTCAGTGCACTGTGCTGAGTGACTCTTATCAACAAAGGGATGGACTGACAGGACACACTAAACAGCTTAACTCACAGAAATCAATGGACCATGCTGAGTACATTCCTATAACAAAATGATGGACACATTTAATAGCTTAACTTACAGGATTCAGTGGACCCTGCTGTGTACATAACTCATAAAGGATAGCTCACGTCCTCAACAGCATATGACTCAAAGTTTACTCCGTTAAATCTGTATTAAGGGATTAAATCTTTTGATTTAAGTAGAGAAAGCTCAAAATGCTACTACACTATTGTTCATCTTTTGAATTACACCAAGTTATTTTTTCTGAATATATTTTCTCAAGAATGTTCCTGAATTGTTAATAACTAATTGAAAAAAATGTGTTTGTCCGTTGTGATACATGATGATGTGCTCACAGTTAAAATTTTAACTTTTATATCAAAATATATTGAACATATCTGTCATGCAATGAAAGTTGTTGAATTTACTCTGCCTCAGTAATTAAAGAATTTGGGGCATATTTTAATTTAGGAATCACATTGTCTCTTATGTAATTTTGTCCAGGCTCTAACTTTGATTTGGGGAAACTTTGGAAACTCATACTCATTACAGGCCTTGCTTATAATGACCAACCAGTGAGTCCTGATCTTGATACAAGCTAGATCATTCCTTCAAGGTCACAGGCCAAAAAAGTATTAATTTTTTGTTTGGGTCATAACTTTGTGAAAGAGAATCACTAGAAGCTCAAACTTGGTATAGTGATTGCTGATGACCCAAAAGTGTGTCATGATCTTATCCAAAGTCATTCCAGTTCAAAGTCATTCCTAGTTCAAGGTTACTAACAGAGAAAGTATGATATTCTTGTCCAGGCTATAACTTGACTTTGTTATGGAGATTCAAGGGAAGCTTATATTTGATATAGAGATTGCATGCGATCAAAAAATGTGTCTTGACCCTTTATCCAAGGTCACTCTGGTAAATTCAACGTCACTGGTAGAAAAAATTTAACATTTTCTCGGATAAAACTTTTTAATGGAGAGGAACTGGTACAGATTTATGAAAGTCCTGAATTTAATTCAATGTCATTGTAGCAAGTTCAAAGTTACTGGCAGAAAAGTGTAAAAAAAAAATTCTAGGCTTAACTTCATAATGGAGAATTACTTAGAGCTCTTATTTGAAACAAATATTGCTACTGTCCTTTTGATTTAGGTCCTTGTCTTCAGACCATGACAACAAATTAAAGGTCAACAGCAGAAAAAGCATAGATTTCTTGTTCAGACTCTAACTTTGTAATGGAGAAACACAGGGATTGTTCATGAACCTAAGGTGTGTCGTGACCTTGATTCAAGGTCATTTTTAGCAAGTTTAAGGTTGTGGTATAAAAAATATTAAATTCATAACAAGTCCTTATTCTCTGATGGAGAAATGGTGCATGTCCACATTTCACTTAACGATTACTAAATTCGGACAACTTGTATTTGTCTTCACTGCATATTACGTTCGTAACAGAGATAATCATTATTATTTAAGAACTATCAATTTAAAAGATAGTAGGATGAATTTACAAGAATAAAGCAAAATTAACATTGAAGTGGGGACAAAATGAAGAATGATAAAAGTTCAAAGTGAAATGTAATAAAGACGATTATGAAAACAATAGAGTGGCATATAGTTACAATAATAAAAAGAACTAGAGCAAAGCTAACTTTGTAATGGAGAAACACAGGGATTGTTCATGAACCTAAGGTGTGTCGTGACCTTGATTCGAGGTCATTTTTAGCAAGTTTAAGGTTATGGTATAAAAAATATTAAATTCATAACAAGTCCTTATTCTCTGATGGAGAAATGGTGCATGTCCACATTTCACTTAACGATTACTAAATTCGGACAACTTGTATTTGTCTTCACTGCATATTACGTTCGTAATAGAGATAATCATTATTATTTAAGAACTATCAATTTAAAAGATAGTAGGATGAATTTACAAGAATAAAGTAACATTGAAGTGGGGACAAAATGAAGAATGATAAAAGTTCAAAGTGAAATGTAATAAAGACGATTATGAAAACAATAGAGTGGCATATAGTTACAATAATAAAAAGAACTAGAGCAAAGCTCGTTGCAAAGCAACGAGTGGGTCTTCTTCTTAGCGACGAGCAAAAGGTGAAATGTTTCAATTGTCAACTTTGCTACCATTCTTTCTTTCTTTGACTCAAATAGCAAAAACCTTTTCTTAAAGTCTGAATCTGGAGTGAGCACGAGGATAAATAATCCAATGGTAATCTCTCCAACAGCATTGAAACTGTACCCACAAAACTTATTCTCCCTCATATTGTGACTTTGATTTGTAGACATATATCATCTTTGATACAATCATGTTAGTGAAGTGTAGTATACTAAAGAAATATCAGTGTTTTGATACATGGCCATATTAAAATTTACTTTATAAACACATTTACACAAAATAATTATATTAGATAGTGAGTAAACCTAATGTGTTACTGATGAACTACCTTCATTTTTTGTCAATCAGTAAGAAGACCACTACTTTTACAAGAAATACATACGAATGTTTTGTGTATGTCTCTAATGCCCTGTTCACACGACAAGTTTAATGCCCTGTTCACACGGAGATTTTAATTCGCAGTAAATTAATGCGAAGTAAACTAATGCGAATATAAAATTTTACTTCTGCAGCCCGGCGTCAGCACGGCTATTTTATGCCCTGTTCACACGGAGAGTTTAATTCGAATTAAACGTAAAGTTACTGCGAATTAGCTTCGCTTAGCGTTCACACGGAGGATTTAATGCGAATTAGTTAGAATACATGACGTGATTTACAAATGACGTCATAACAGACTTACTGACGCCTGACTGTAGAAGAAATTTTTTTTAAAATTCGCATTAGTTTACTTCGCTTTAGCTGTCGTGTGAACGCAATTTAATTCGCATTAATTTGATTCGCATTAGTTTACTAGTGATTAACACATTTTTTCATAGTTTTTCACTCAAAAAAAAGTACTTAAAGCCAACCACCGACATGATGTATTTGACTTAATTGTGCCATTACGCATGCCCCAAAATTTAATTCGAATTAGCTTCGCGCATTCACACGGAGATAATGCGAAGTAATTTAATGCGCAGTAAACTAATTCGAATTAAACTAATTCGCATTAAATTCTCCGTGTGAACGCTAAGCGAAGCTAATTCGCAGTAAACTTACGTTTAATTCGAATTAAACTCTCCGTGTGAACAGGGCATTAGTGATTAACACATTTTTTCTTAGTTTTTCACTCAAAAATAGCACAAGTACGTAAAGCTGACCACCGACATGACGCATTTGACTTAATTTTGCCATTACGCATGCCCCAAAATTTAATTCGAATTAGCTTCGCTTAGCGTTCACACGGAGCTAATGCGAAGTAATTTAATGCGCAGTAAACTAATGCGAAGTAAACTAATTCGCATTAAATTCTCCGTGTGAACGCTAAGCGAAGCTAATTCGCAGTAAACTTACGTTTAATTCGAATTAAACTCTCCGTGTGAATAGGGCGTAAGAGTAATATATGACAAGTGTCTCAAATGGCCCCTTAAAAAGAATATCTGAATTTACTTTGTATATAGCTTTAATTTGTACAGTTATAAATGCGACCTTAATTGGTTATTTTCAATTTGATCAAAATGCCGTTATTCTAGAAATTTGACATCATAAAAGCCATTTTAGCATATTTTGTATAAAACTGCTTATTTTCAAGCAGTTTTTCTTCCAGAAAATATAGAGCGCAGCGTAGAAGAAACTTCATATTTTTACCAAAGATGTATCTATCCAGTACTAATACTAGTGACAGAAAAATTATGAATGTTCTAGGCTGCGCTCTATGTCATGTCATCGGTCACGTATATTTTAAAGAATTTTTCATTAAAACAACTTTCAAAAAAACTTATCTAGTTAGAAACAGAGGGTAGACTTTACTTTACCGGTCCCCAGATCCGCAAGATCCTCGCGCTCATTGGACTATGACGTAACAACTACGTCACTCAACCGAAATGGGATAAATTTGCACACTATTCGACTGATTAGGGTTAGTCTTGCACCCACCTGAGAGATTAGGGTTAGTCCTTGCACTAGTATTCGACTGATTTTGGTTAGTCTCGCGTCCATCCGAGAGATTAGGGTTAGTCCTCGCACATTATTCGACTGATTAGGGTTAGTTTAGCATCTGCCCGGGAGATTTCGTCTGAACGTCTTAGTCCTTGCATACCATCCGATGGATTAGGGTTAGTGAATCGTTCTTTTAGTTAAGTTAAGAAATTCAGTCGTTTCTGTAATTTTTCCAAGATCATAATTCAGATTCATAGGCATTTCCTTCGTTTGTTTACATGGAAGATTGGCTAAGTCCGAAAGAAATGACACTAAGCATGCGCCGCACGCGCTTCGTTCAGAATTATTCTTTGTCCATTTTTTCCATGAATAAACAACGTTTATTAATTTTTTTCAGAGAACGAGGTTAAAAACTTTGTTTAAAAACAAAGTTTTAAACTAAACTTTTAACCGTAGAATCCAATTTTGGGGTCAAAAGGCCAAAAAAACTCATATTTAAATTTTTTATCTCATATATACTGAAGTCGCCTTCGGCGACACTACATTTTAGCGCGTTTTTCTGGGGACCGGTAAGAATCTCGCTTTAAATGGTTATCCGGGAATGGCAAACATAACTCTGTTAAAAAAAAAAGCAGGCCGTAGTGACGGTGCCCACAAGTCACAAATAACATCAGTTTTCATTTAAGAAATTCGGTATCATTTTTAAACATCTATCGGGATTTAAATGCGGGTTGGACACGAGATTAAATTCCAAAAAGCCCGAAGGGCTTCATGATGAATTTAATCTCGTACCAACCCGTATTTATAGCCCGATGGATGTTTTAAAATGATACCTTATTACTTATTTTTATGTTCCCCAAACGAAGTTGGGGAACATATTGTTTTTACTCTGTTTCTTATTATGTTCCCCAAACGAAGTTTGGGAACATATTGTTTTTACTCTGTTTCTTATTATTATTTTTCTTCTTCCTGGGTACTTATTTGTCCGCGAATGATCTTGTAAACTGTTCATCTGATGTAAGTAAAATCTTTTTAGGGTAAGTAGACATGTTATGTAGATTTTCAAGGTTATTTTGCGCGCACGTGCTTGCAAGAGCGTGCACGTGCAACATCTAAAATGACCAATACAATTGATAAAGCCGTAATTTTTCTATTTCCGGATGAAATTTGTTAAAACTCAGAATATAAGAATATATTAGTATTATAGACAAGAGGACATGGTCAAATTATCATGAACTCACGCGCATGCACGTGCGCTTCGCTCTGATTGGCTGAAACAAAAATCTCAATATCTTGTTCGTTTTTTGACGAAATACTTTGAAATTTAAAACATAGTCATGCATTAAAATATCCTACGATATGATATAAAATAATTTTCATGAAATCACGCGCATGCACGTGCGCTGCAATCTGATTGGCTAAAACTTTAAATGGCTATACCTCCCTTGGTTTTCAGCTAAACAGGATGGGATTTAGAACATAGATAGTCTTAATGGACCCCTACAAGAGGGTATGGTCATCATGCACATGCATGCACGTGCGTGCACGTGCAATACGTAAAATTACAAACGCACTTGATTTAGCGTATTTTCGAATACTTTTTGATTAAATGCCGAGATGTTAAGTACATTATAATAAATTAATAGTGTAGATACAATTATATGGTCATTCCGCATATGCATGCAAGTGTGCGCACGTGCAATGTAAAAATTTTGTTTATACTTGGTATACTTTAGGAAAAACGTTGTTTAAGTTGCAGATGCATAGGGTTTAGTTTTTTTATGAAGCTTCGAGGGAATGAGGCACCAAAATGAAGTTGGGGAGCGTTTGGGGAACATCTGTAACGGTTCCCGTTACAATTAGCACTAGTTATTATTATTATTATTTTTCTTCTTCTTCTTCTTCCTGGGTACTTTTTTGTCCGGGAATGATCTCGTAAACTATACATCCGACTAAGGTGAAATGTTTTTAGGGTCAGTAGACATGTAATGTAGATTTGCGGAACGAAGGTCATTTTGCGCGCACGTGCTTAGAGCGTGCACGTGCAACATGTGTAATGACCGATTTAATTGATATACGCGTAACTTTTTAAATTTTTGATGAAATGCTTTGAAACTTATAATATAAGGATATATTAGTAGCATAGACAATATGACATGGTCAAAATAGCAAGATCTCACGCGCATGCACGTGCGCTTTGCTCTGATTGGCTGAAACTAAAGTCTCAATATCTTTCTTGTTTATTGACGAAATCCTTTGAAATTTTGAAAATAGCCATGCATTAGGATATCCTACAACATGATATATAGCAATTATCATGAAAACACGTGCATGCACGTGCGCTGCAATCTGATTGGCTTAAACTTTAAATAGCTATAACTCCCTTGATTTTCAACCAAACAGGATGGGATTTGGAACATAGATAGATATACTGGACTACTACAAGAAAACATGGTCACCATGCACATGCATACACGTGCATGTACGTGCACTGCAATCTGATTGGCTGAAACTTTAAATAGCTATAACTCCCTTGGTTTTCAACCAAACGGGGTGGGATTTAGAACATAGATAGATGTAACGGACATCTACAAGAAGGTATGGTCACCATGCTCATGTATGCACGTGCGTGCACGTGAAATGAGCAAAATCAAAAACACAATTGAATGAGCGTATCTTTTTAATACTTTTGGATTAAATACTTTAATATTAAGTATATTAAAATATATAGATTGTGTAGACAAGATGATATGGACATTACGCACATGCATTTACATGCGCACGCGTGCAATGCTAAAATTTGATGAACTTTGTACACTTCTTGGTAAACGTTTTTAAGTCTCAAATGCATCGAGTTTGTCTTATTTAATGAAGCATCCAGGGAATATGGCACCAAAAGGGAGTTGGGGCCGGAGCGTTTGGGGAACATCTGTAACGGTCCCCGTTACAATTAGCACTAGTTACATTTGTGACTTATTTATATATGCCTGATTGTGACTTTTAACGTGTGAAATGCATTATTTTTCAAACCCAACGGTATGTATATATGTAATTCAGTCAGCGCACGTCGACCCCTTATGACGTCACTGAGAATTTACGTCGAACGTTTATCCATACGCACATCTATGACCTCTTGACCCCGTCCTGGTATCTATACAGTTATATTTACATTCAGTGTAATTTTCTTTATGAAATCCATTAGAAATCCATGACGTTCAAATCTCTATAACACACGCGAAACCTTGTCACCGCGCGTTAGAATACACAGTAGGAACTATATGCATTTTCAATACTTTATGATCACCAAAATGTACAGTGTTTGACATAAATTAATAAAAAAAAATTAACCCTGTTGAATTAACGAAAAAATACAACAAATGCTAACGCGCGGTATTCCATTTGTCGGCACGGCCAGGTGTGTTATAGGACCAAAGACATTCCAAAATATGAATTCAATGCAATATGTAGCTTATAAAAAGGTTAATAAAGAAAAGGGACGTGAAGTGAATTTTTATATTTTTCAAATGTAAGTGTTTTGTTATTCTACAAATATGATTATTTGCATTTTGTCTTCATTTAAATAGAAAAATATATAGAAGTGGGGGGGGGGGGGGGGGGTTTAAGGTTTATCCGCATGCATTAAGGTAGAGATTGATAGGTTGTCAACAACAAAACTACCCATTGAATTTTTCTGAATTTTTTATATGTTTGTGTTGAGTCCTTGTTCTAAATCATATCAAAAATTCAAGGCAGGTCATCAGGCTAGTTTTAGAGAAATTTGACATTTTTAATATAGCCTTCATCAACCACCGAAGAGCTGAAAAAGCAGGATAAAATAATATAATAATATGATATGAAAAGGGATGTAAATCTTTTATTGCTATATCAATTATCATTTGTCATATATGAATTCAAACATCTGTCTGTATGGATTAATATTTGACATCAATCTTAAATTTATCAAGCATTGTAAGCAAAAAACAGAATTACATTTACCAACATGCATGGTCAAATTAGGTTTAAATATTGCCTATTCATTGCACAAAGTCTCATACTTCTGCTTCCACTGTGAAAAAATTACCCATCAAATTTCTTTTTTTATTACATATTACAGTTAGCCTATAAGTGTCTTAAATTTTAGAAAAAAAATCATACTACATAATGGGGTTTAAATTCAACCTGGAACAAGATTATTATCTTACACCCTACCCTACCCCCTTCCTTTAGAAGGATGCAATTTTGAAGAATATGGTGACTAAGAGAGATTATCAAGAATTTATCAAAATATTTCACAGAAAATGAGTAAATTCTTTGTAATATTCTTCTAAATTACATTTTGTATCACAAAAACAATTTATACATGTACACCTAGACACATGTTGCTCTGGTTGACCTTTTTGCACTTATATTAAACAAGAGGCCCAAGGGCCTTGAATCGCTCTTCTGATAAATTGTACAATCTATCACTTCTATTTGAAGCCTCCAACTCTATTAGAATCATAAGACCCAAAATGCATCAACTTACAAAGTTTGATAATATTTAGCCAATTAAGACTGAAGATATTATAATATAATTATAAAATACCATAAGTAGGTCACAGTGACCTACCTTTTGATTGAAATTTTCTGAGGACTCAAGATACATCAATTGACAAAGACTAATGATTCTAATTAAATAAGTACCTGAGATATTCAAAAGTAGGTCACCATGACCTACTTTTTGGTCAACATTCTCTGAAAACCCAAGATGCATCATCAAAAACCCATAATGCCTAAATTAACAAAATTTGATGATTCTAAGCCAATAAGTACCTGAGATATTCAAAATTAGGTCACTGTGACTTACTTCTTGTTGGACATTCAATGAAACCCTAAGATGCCTCAACTGACAAAGTTTGATAATTCCGAGCCAATAGGTACCAGATATAATTAAATATAGCCATAAAATGTCAAAAGTAGGTCACTGTGACCTATTTTTTGGTCGACGTTCTCCGAAAACTCAAGGTGCCTCAACTGACAAAGTTTGATGATTCTTAGCCAATAAGTGCCAGAGATACTTAATTATAGCCATAAAATGTCAAAAGTAGGTCACTGTGACCTACTTTTTGGTCAACGTTCTCCGAAAACCCAAGATGCATCAACTCACAAAGTTTGATGATTTTAGGTCAATAAGTACCAGAGATACTTAAATAAAGCCATAAAATGTCAAAAGTAGGTCACCGTGACCTACTTTTTGGTCGTCACTCTTCGAAAATCAAATATGCATGGACTCACAAAGTTTGATAATTCTAAGCCAATAAATACCTAAGATACTTAAATATAGCCATTAAATGTCGAAAGTAAGTCATTGTGACCTACATTTTGGTCGAGATTTTTCAAAGACCCAAGATGCATCTACTGACCAAGTTTGATGATCGTAGGTCTGAAGGTAATCAAAATATGCGTTTTAAACAATATGAAAACAAATGTCGGCAAAATTCAAAAAGTAGGTCACAGTGACCTACTTTTTCATAAATATGTTTCAAGACCCCAAGATGCATCAAAGTACAAGATTTGATGATTCTAAACCTCTCAGTGTCTGAAATAATGAGATTTAATGTTTTTAAAAGGATAAGTCATAAAGTTCAAAAAGTAGGTCACGGTGACCTACTTTTAAGTTGACATTGTTTGAGGACCCAAGATGCATCAACTGACAAAGTTTGATGATCATAAGCCTTAAAGTGTCCAAAATATGCCTTCAAATCAATTTGAAAACAAATCCCCGCAAAATTTAAAAAGTAGGTCATCGTGACCTACTTTTGAGTTAACATGATGTGAAGTCGTAAGATGCATCAACTTACAAGAATTGATGATCCTAGTCCTTGCAATAAGCAAAATATACACGTTTTTATTAATTGTAAATTTAGGTCAACTTTGATGTGACCTTGAGACCACGCCCTTTGCCCCAGGGTAATTCCCCGTGCAAATTTTAATCTTCGACATATCCTGATAATTGTATGTAAGTTTGGTGAAAATCTGCCTGGTGGTTATGGAGAAGATTTTTTAGCAACCAGTACTTTTGGTTTTGTTTTCCTGATTATCTCCCCTTGTTTAAGGGTCCCAACCCTTATTTTAGTATAAATGGTAGCCCTTGGGCCAAGGATACCCTGTGACAAATTTGGTACTGATTGGCCAAGGGGTTCTTGAGTTATGGCCCATATTCTAAAAAGTTTACGCACACCGCACAAATGGCCATAGCATTAGCTCTTTGAGCCTTTGGCTCAGAAGAGCTAAAAAGAAAAGAAGTTTTCCTTATATCGTTCAAATCGACTTTGATAGATAGAATTAATCAAAATATTTCAAAGAAAACGAGTAAAATTCCAAGTAATATTCTTCTAAATTACATTCTATATCACAGAAAACAATTTATACATGTACACCTGGGCACATGTTGCCCTGCTTGACCTTTTTGCACTTATATTAAAAAAGATAAAGAACTTTCTTTGATATCACTCAAATTGACTTTGTAGATTTATTATACATATGATTCTTGGATGAATTATCAATGACAATATGTGTTGACCAATTCTGTGCATAAGTAAACTGGTTTTATTATCTTTCTTTGACAACAATAGAATGATTAATTTCACTTTTCTTTTAACAATTCCTTTTTTATTCCAAATACGTGTACAACATAAATAAGAAAACCCAGTGATTATGAAGTTTTGAACACAGAATCAATCCACGGCATGTTATCCTTGTTTTAAAAATATTCAGATAAAAATGTGTTATGTATTACACTGTTAAATGAAGACTGCCTGGTCATCAGTTGTAAAATATTAATACACTTAAGCATGGTAAAAAAATGCTAAATACATGGTAAAAAGTGCGGGAAAATTGGGTGATTTGGTTATCATTACATACATACAAAAACAGTGTAATAATTTACAAAAAAAACATACAATGTTTTAGAGGTAATAAATTGTAACTTTAAAGTATAGATTTTGCAAACAGATTCATAAAAGTTAGAGGAATCCCACCATAAACTGTATGTGATATTGTACAATTTTTTAACTCATGATGTAGTTCAACAAAATAAAGTGAATACATTCAGTACATGTACGGTAATAGGATAAACTTGCTATTTTGCTTTTTGTCTTATTCGCTAACAAAGATCAATGTAAACATGTATGCATTTCTAATTGCCATCGTATGCAGCCAGTTGCGTCATGTTCAAGGATCCTGACAATTCCGTTGTTTTTATGTCAATACAACAAAGGTGTTCTTTCACAAGGATTTGCAGTAAGTAAAATTCACTCTGTATATTCAGATTTTGAAGCACGTCTTATGGTGTGATATGTCCGTTCCTCTTTACCGTCTCCTTCTGGTAGTTCTTTTTCTGAAAATAACAAAATATTTTAATACAATAAGAATGAAAATACATGTTTTACTTCTTCCTTACACTGCAAAGATAGTCATCACTGCGGCTCGGACAAGTGTCTCGTGGTATTAAAGTTGATAAATGGTCGGGGTGGTAAGAATAATTAATATTTGACGCCGAACTGTTGGTGTCTCAGCTTTTAGGTAACTCTCAGTTAAAGCCTCAATAAGTGCCGGTGACTCGTAATGGGTGTAAGACTTTTATAATTTTGAAAACATTGCATCTTTTAAGGCATCACTTTCTCCAAGACATATTGTCTTTAAAAGAAGAGAGAGGCATTTATTTGCTTTGGCAGCATATCTTCTTCTTGTTTGCTCACTTGAACTAACAAATGACCCTCTAAGTGTTTTAAGATGACTCTTGTTGCACGCTGCAAGTTTTGAAAGGTGATCGATACCAGAAATTGATGCCTCTGAATCTTGGCTTTCTTGGCTATCCGTTGGTGTTTCTTGACTGGATTCAACATTTTCCTAAAAATACAAGAAACAATAGAAAAACAGTAATCTTTTTAAAAAAATTAGTAAAATTTTTTGCCCTTTGTTGAGATTGATCATTGACCTTAACCTTTCAGTCTTTACATTTACATTAAGACAGATGAACAAAGAGACACCAGGCAAAGTGTTCTCTGATTCAATCTATACTTCATCTCAGCAAATTAATCAACACATAATTTGTTAGATTTTAAAAGCCAAAGTCAGCTGTGTCTGTTTACAATTACATGATGAGCAGCTACTAGAGCTCTACATCTTAGCTTAGTTGTAGGGAGATTGAAAAAAATGTATACACTTAACAAGAATTCATAAATTTTTCTTAGATATAAAATGTGATGACAACTGATCATATTGCACACAATTTAATTGAAATGGCTTTCTCAAAGTAAATTAAATTATTATATAATTGAATTGGCTAAGATTCAACATTGTAGAAAAAATACTATACATTTATTGACCGAGTTCAAGGGCAACATGCGTTTTGTCGGAACCAAGAAACAAACTGACTGCCTGAGGCCGTCAGTTTGGTTCGAGGGTCCCACAAAACGCATATTGCCCAAGATCTCTGTCAATAAATGTTTTGTTATACCTTTAATTTTATTTTATTTTTTTGACATACATGTATTTTGTGCTGCATTCCATGATGTAACATCAAGTCTGTCACTGTTTAACATCAACGAATGAAAATGAGATTAAGCTCTGTCCATTCTGTAACGTAAGCGGTCCAACATTTCTCCGAGTGGTCCAACATCTCACTCAGTGGTCCAACATCGATTTTTTTTCTATGCACCTGCTCTGCAAAACATATTAAAAATGTTAAGACTTTTTCTGTATAGATTTGTATAGGATTAGGAAGAAAGTTAAAGGTATAACAATATACATTTATTGCATGATAGTGAGGGAAATATGAAGACTTATTCAGCCAAGAAAAATCATATTAGCCCGAGGGGAATATGATATTTCTTAGCTGAATAAGTCTTCATGTTTCCCGAACATTCATGCAATGAATTGTTTATTATACCGAATAAGCAAAACCTTTGAACTAAACATAAACTTTCATATTCGGTACTGCTCTCCAGTCACTTTCATTTTTAACGTCAAAGTTCCTGAAACCTTTTGACACATTTCTAATCAGCAATTTTGTGATGTAAACCAGGCTATTGTGATGTCTACTACTCTCTGGAGTTTTCGTTCAACGAACAAGAAAAATATTGCGGGAAAATACACTAGGTGTTCCGAAGAGGTGGAATATGATGAAAAGCGTGCCGATGGCCGGGAAATATGAAGTTTTACGACCTGATCACGTGATAACCTAGAACCAATCAGATTACGCGATGTGTAGAATATTTATAATGAGGTATAATAATATGTTATATTCTCCTGCACATATGACCTTTTGTGTGAAAATAAGAATCTATCTTTCTTAACATGATTGCTTAAGAATTGCTTTAGAGTTTGTCATTTAAGCTGCAATTAAGCATTTATTTAAATCACAAAATTAACGGGGGTGGGAGTATAATATTAATAACATAAAGATGAGTGAGGAGATATGAAATTAATACTGAAATAAATCTATGATCTTACATTTACATTGTTTTGTATCTGAATTCTTGGTCTCAGAAACAATCTGCTACATTCTTTACGCTGTTCCACTGCCTAAAATGAAATATAATAATTTAACTAGATGAGATCTCGTTGCGAGCAACGAGTAGGTCTTCCATCCGATTTTTCGATCAAATGAGATATGATTTTGACTATTATCTTTGTCAATACAGAATGATATCAAGCTTTCTCTCTTTTGATTTAGATAACCTTATCTAATAATTCTAGATGAATGTCTTGGCCCTTATAGGCCCCTTATTTAAGGGGTCAGACCCTTTGTCTTCATATCAAATTATAAGGCTCGTGATTTTAAAGATTTTTTGTTCAATAACTATTCATAAATTTCTCTTCGTTTTCAAGCTATGTAGAATAGAAATATATAGGGGCCAGCCCTTCAAGTCCTTAATGTTGTCGATTTGCAAAAAATGAATGGTTGTATATTGTTAAGAATACGATTCTGAACATCTTTTATTCAATACTGCTTATCAAAATATTTATCCTTTCCGAGATATAAAGAAGCAAAGATTTAGCATTTTGGCCCCTTAAGGCCCCTTATTACGTAACATATGATAATAGTTTTACAATATATTGTTGCAGATTGTTAAGATAAATATTTTTGCTTCAGAAATGTATCACAAAATCTTGATAGTTAAAGAGCTATAAATCAAAACGTTCTGGCCCCTCTGTGCCTTTATTTGAGGGGTCAGACCCTTTTTCTTCATATCAAATGAAAGAACTTGTAATTCTGAAGAACTTTTATTATATATCCTTTAACAAATTATTTACAGGTACAAAGATATCAAAGAAAACGTATCAAATTTTGCGAGATATTTCTGAGTCTATTTTTTTAGCCCAGGTGAACTTCAAATCCTTTTGCGCTGGAAAGATATAGACTCAAAAAAGCAATTCTACAATCCTTCCTCTACCTTCACTGAAAATCTCAAGTCAATATCTTCATTCGTTTTGGAGTGATTGCCAGGACAAGCTGACCCTACGAAAATCAGTAAATCGTCCATATATCACGACTGGAAGTGATGTCGTAGATATAAAAAATTTCTAATAAGGTTCAGACCAATATCTATCAGATCTGAAAGTTTCGTGAAAATCAACTATGCCGTTTCCGAGAACTCGCTTGCACAAAATCGGTAAGAAAAAAAAATAATAAAATGCCTCGATCGCCCTACGAGGGTCAAGGAATAAGATTCCATTTTGTTCAATAACTTGCATTGAGAAAAAAATGTTAATATAGGTCAATTAAACGGTCTTTGAAAAATAGTTATCTTTTTAAAAAAATGTTTTCTTATTGTGACAGTTGTCCTTTCTATTAATTTAATATGACACAAGTGTGCATGGGAAAACAGTGGTCACGTTTTGTACCTACTTTATATATTGTTTCTTGAAAAACCATTAATTATAACTAATATGATTTAAGCTATGTGTTTCCGTGATGCAAAACAAAAGATATTGGATATTGTACTTGATTTGCACATTAATTCTTTTCTATTTCTACTTTGAGAAACAACCACAACCAATTAAAGAAGACTTGTAAGGAGACCTTGGATTATAAATGAAGTTTGACACAGAATTGCAACGAACCTACGACGTGACAATCCAAGTATCCCTACACATTTCATCGCTCCTTATGTTACTTTCGTTAAAGCAAACGCTCGGCTGCCTCTGTAAACCCCTGTTGCGAAATGTCAGAATTGACAGAGACTGCCGCCATTTTGGTCCCGCTTCAGATTTTTGAATGTTAATATCTCAAATTTGAATTTATCAATTTACAAACAAATTATATATTCAGCCTAATAAGAATTATTTCTATCAACCATACCAATATAATTTGAAAATATTCAAAAACAAAAAAGTTCAAAAATACGACTTTTAAAATTTGCATGCCGTTACGACAGGAAGTAGAGACGACGTACAAAAGATCGCGTCTTGGATAGTATTTATCACGATCTATAATCCCTGAAAGTTTCACAGTGATATCTTTTACCGTTCTTGAGATTATCTGCAAACAAAATGTCATTTTAAAATCAGAAAATTGTCCGTAACTTGGCACCAGAAAGGAATTTCCAAAAAATCTCTTGGATAAAATAACTTCAGATAACAACTCATTGTTCCTGCAAATTTCATGAAAATCCATCCAGTAGTCTTCGAGAAATCGCGTGCACAAAATTAGATGGTCGAAAAAGTAATAATAATATTGAGCTCAGGCGAGCTTCAACGCCTTTTGCGCTGGAAAGATATAGACTCAAAAAAGCAATTCAGCAATCCTTCCTCTACCTTCACTGAAAATCTCAAGCCAATATCTTTATTCGTTTTGGAGTGATTGCCAGGACAAGCTAACCCTCTAAAAATCAGTAAAACGTCCATATCTCACGACCGGAAGTGACAGCGTATATATAAAAAATTTCCAATAAGGTTCAGACCAATATCTATCAGATCTGAAAGTTTCGTGAAAATCGATCGAGCACCGAATAATAATAACTAGATACGAAACTTATTGCGAGCAACGTGCAAAACCCGTAAGATCAAATTGAAAAAGTGATCGAAAAAATCAGATATACGAGGGGTTGAACCCGAGTGGCCGACGTGAAAATCCATTACCCATTACAGTTTTGGGAATCCGCTTCAAATTTAAAATGCAATATCGCGAGACTGCCTTTTTTGATTCTAATATATATTACATGTTTTTTTAAAGTATGGAATTATAAAATGAGAGCTATCTTGGAAAACTTTGCCCAAGAATATCACATTGGAATTTGATCCTTGAGTTTTAAGAGTAAGGAGATGGGTGAACTTAGCATGCAGAAAGCCCAATAGCTTCAGATATATAAGAATCATATTCAAATTGTGAATTTAGTATTTAGAGTAAAGTTCTCATCATTGATTTTTATGAAATCATGAAAAACAAAAAGTTCTGAGGAAAATTTTTCAATAAAATTTATTCTTTTATATAAAAAAAAAAATAGTGTGGTATCCATTAGATTCAAACCCTGGCAATAAAAACCCTGAGCTGCATTCTCTTTGAGACCAGCACGCTAACCAATAAGCTACACAAGTCCTGACGAAGTGTGGCATTTAAATCTTGTTTGTGATATGACCATTGACTTAAGGGACTTCAAGTATTTCTCAACAAGATACCAAAGTTATGTCATAAAATTATATTTTTAAGGTATAGTGGGTCTTAAATTGCTCCATAATTTTGGAAACCAAAATATGTATGTTTTTATGCAAACTTTGAGGATTACCTTTCAAAAAAATGGAGAGAAGACCCACTCATAACAAAACAAGAGGCCCAGGGGCCACATCGCTCACCTGAGCAATTGGCTAGGAAAAAACACAGATCAGATCGATCAGAACTGAAAGTAAACGGGGGGGGGGGGGGGGGGCTGCTTGAATTTTACATCCCCCCAGGGGGTCATGATTTGAACAAACTTGAATCTACACTACCTGAGGATGATTCCCTATAAATATAACGAAGCCTGGCTTTGAAGTAGTTGAAAAGAAGATTTTAAAAGGTTTCCCTATATGTTCCTATGTAAAACTTTGATCTGCCATTTTGGTCCCACCCTACCCCCGGGGGTCATGATTTGAACAAACTTGAATTTACACTACCTGAGGATGATTCCACATGAGTTTATCCTTTCCTGGCCCAGTGGTACTAATGAGAAGAAGATTTTAAAAAGATTTTTCCTATATATTCCTTTGTAAAACTTTGATTGGCCCAACCCTTCCCCCGGGGTCATGATTTGAACAAACTTGAATCTACACTACCTGAGGATGATTCCATATGAGTTTCATCTTTCCAGACCCAAAGGTTCTTGAGAAGAAGATTTTTAAAGATTTTTCCTATATATTCCTATGTAAAACTTTGATCGGCCATTTTGGCTCAACCCTTCCCCGGGGTCATGATTTGAACAAACTTGAATCTACACTACCTGAGGATGATTCCACATGAGTTTCATCTTTCCTGTCCCAAAGGTTCTTGAGAAGAAGATTTTTAAAGATTTTTCCTATATATTCCTATGTAAAACTTTGATCGGCCATTTTGGCCCCACCCTATCCCCGGGGTCATGATTTGAACAAACTTGAATCTACACTACCTGAGGATGATTCCACATGAGTTTCATCTTTCCTGACCCAAAGGTTCTTGAGAAGAAGATTTTTAAAGATTTTTCCTACATATTCCTATGTAAAACTTTGATCGGCCATTTTGGCCCCACCCTATCCCCGGGGGTCATGATTTGAATAAACTTGAATCTACACTACCTGAGGATGATTTCACATGAGTTTCATCTTTCCTGGCCCAGTGGTTATTGAGAAGAAGATTTTTAAAGATTTTTCCTATATATTCCTTTGTAAAACTTTGATCGGCCATTTTGGCCCCACCCTTCCCCCGGGGGTCATGATTTGAACAAACTTGAATCTACACTACCTGAGGATGATTCCACATGAGTTTTATCTTTCCTGGCCCAGTGGTTCTTGAGAAGAAGATTTTTAAAGATTTTTCCTATATATTCCTTTGTAAAACTTTGATTGGCCATTTTGGCCCCACCCTACCCCCGGGGGTCATGATTTGAACAAACTTGAATCTACACTACCTGAGGATGATCCCACGTGAGTTTCATCTTTCCTGGCCCAGTGGTTCTTGAGAAGAAGATTTTTAAAGATTTTTCCTATATATTCCTATGTAAAACTTTGATCGGCCATTTTGGCCCCACCCTACCCCCGGGGGTCATGATTTGAACAAACTTGAATCTACACTATCTGAGGATGATTCCACATGAGTTTCATCTTTCCTGGTCCAGTGGTTCTTGAGAAGAAGATTTTTTAAAAATGTCATTAATTTTTCTCCAATTCATAATTATCTCCCCTTGGAAAAGGGCCTGGCCCTTCATTTGAACAAACTTGAATCCCCTTTACCCAAGGATACTTTGTACCAAGTTTGGTTGAATTTGGCCCAGTGGTTCTTGAGAAGAAGATGAAAATGTGAAAAGTTTACGACGACAACAACGACGACAACAACGCCGACAGACAACGGACAAATTTTGATCAGAAAAGCTCACTTGAGCCTTCGGCTCAGGTGAGCTAAAAAGTGTTACAGTGTGAAAAAATGACACGTTTTTTCCTCTTTCGTGTGTGTATAATATTTCATAGGCAGATAACTTCAATCTTCATGAGATTTGTGTAAGTTGTAGAGATTTTATATAAAGTATACTTTAATGTTAGATGAAATATTAAGGAAAATTTTGATATAATTGAGATTTAATTTTTCACCTCAATGTTTGTTGCGGTATAGGCTTATCTCTCGTCATGTTCACCCATCTCCTTTTAGGAGAGATAACCTATTACTGATGAACAAATGGTACTGTTTACTTTCTTTTATTTGATATGTATTCAACTTTCTATTCCATGCAACTCCATATACAGGCATGCCAATGGTATCTATTACTGCACTTCTGTTGTCATTTGTCTACTAGTTAAGTCGGGTCACGATACATTTTTTTTTTCGTGCCAAACGTCACGAGTAGCTCTTAAAGCTATTCCTTTGAAATGCATGATCTATTGAATTGATGTGATAGCTTCATTAAAATTTAGAAATGTATGTTCTTAACACCGGAATTTCGAGCTTTAGAAAATATATTTATCGCATTGTACATGAATTTTGTATCCTGTTTACCCCCAAAGTGGACTCCCTTCCGATTAGAAACAGATTCATGAAGAGATTGGAATGTTTCGCTGAAAAAATCTCTCGCTCTCCAACGGTCATGAAATCTGATACTATTTATGTTCAATAACTTGCATTTATTACAAAAATATTCAGACATAAGCAATACTAACAGACTTTTGAAGAAACCTCGGATTAAAACTATAATCTGAAACAGAAATGCAACGTAATTACGACGTGACAATCCAATGATTCCTTTACATGTCATTGATATTTATGGTAGAAGTTTCTTTCATCCAAACGCTCGGCTGACCTTCTAGACCCCGACTTGCCTAATGGCCGAGTTTACTGAGACAGCCGCCATCTTGGACCCGCTTCAGATTTTCAAATGCAAATATGTAGTGTTTGGATCAGTCTAGTCGAACCCTCAAACGGGGGTATACCCTCAAATGAGGGTTTTCCTTCCCTTAATGCAACGCGCAAAAGCGGAAGTGGAATTCAAGAACGATAACTGTTCTTATTTAAAAAAAAATATTTTTTTAAAAATCACAAACATACAAAAATGAATTGTGTACACCTTTGTTTCAATTAAAAAAAAAGTAATAAAAATGTTTTCGTTTATATTTACCTCATTTCTGAAGCACAAAAGTTTGTTTACAGGACAGAGAAAATTCGGACGGGCACACAAGAAAGTGTCGAAAAATAATAAATAACATGATAGTTACACAAGATTTGTAATACTGGGGAAGGGAATTATATGTAGTTCAACTTTAAACAAACCACTGACTGTTTATTCATCCGTTTTATTAAATTAGGAATAAAAAAATGTAGTTGTATCAAGCATGGAGGTCAAGGCACAGAATATGCTAACTTTGAGAGAGAAAAAGTCTCGATTTTTGCAATAAACATATACTTTTTCGCAATACAATCTCTTTAAACATCTTTAATCTATCAAATTTGGGTACATACAGAGCTACGAAATAATCCATCACTTTGCACGAGCATATTTTGTGGACCACACATTTTTCCGTGAAAACGGCACTTTTTTTAGTGTCTGCACATGCGCATACCCCCATTTGAGGGTACGGTTTTCCTACTTCCGTTTACCCCCGTTTGAGGGTTCGACTAGACTGGTGGATTGATCAATTCTAAAATAAATGATATATTAGGCCTTTTCAGTAGGGTCTTCATTAACGTTAATTATATCAAAGAAAAATACTGAAAAACAAAAAAGTTCAAAAACTGCATATTTTTTAATTCGCTTCCCGTAGCGACCGGAAGTACTGACAACGCAAACGAAGGCAAAATTGCAAATCTATAACTCATGATCTATCGTCTCTAATAAGTCTCCAGTGAATATCTTGAGCCGTTCTCAAGAACATTCGAGGACAAAAATGCATTTTAAAATCAGGAAATTGCCATCTTTATTGATAGCACCTGTCCATTAAAAATTAGAATACGAAAAAGGCTAAATATTCAACATTAGTCATTACCATGATTACTGGAGTATATTATGAAGTCTATTCATTACATGTGTAAAAATGATTTCCAGTTATATATCAGTCCTTTCATTCATGATTATTTTGATTTTATAATACATTTTCAATAAGAAGCTTTCTAGTCTGTAGTCTGTGTCTACTTTTAGTTTTTGTATGTTTTGAGTTGACTAAATTACTTTATACTTACATGTTCCAACAGGAAGAATTGTCCCATATCGGCCATAGTTTCTATTGATGCCTTCCACCTGATGAATCGTTGAGTGTCTCATTGCTCTTTGTTTCATCGTTTTTTTTTAAAAAAATTTTATTAGTGTGATGCTAATTGTTAAGGAATTTCCGCAATATTTCCATGTTCTGCTTAGGCGATCCTTCTCAACAGCTGCTCAATGCAACTCAAACTCATTTTGGCAAATTTTACATGAATTTGAAAATTTACTGTATATCAAACCCGATTCTGTCAAAATATTGGTTCACAAAGTTGAACGTAATGAATCAAGGGGACTAAAAGTCACTACATTAGAACGAACAACTAAAAAAATGAAACGAATGAAACCTAAGTTCCACCTGCATGATCTGCTGAGACAATTTGGAATAAATGAAGGTCGTTCTTTCTCTCCTTCAATACAAAAGAGTACGTCAAAAACTATAACTCTGTCGTTGTTTTTCTCCAAATTCCCAAGTAATTAAATCTTATTTCCAGATTTATCTTCGGTTTCTCCATAAATTTAAAGTTTCCATATTCTAAGATAATATTTATATTATTTTTCTAACATAAATGTTTACACTAGATGACTGGACAAAACATTTATTTTTCCTCTCAAGTCTGGCATCGGGTGCGTTCACAGTTCTGCCGTTGGTAGACAAAAGTTGCCGTTGGTAAAATTAATTACCATTGGCATGCCACTGGTACCAATGTTTTTTGCCAATGGTATATTTTTCTGCAGACAGTCTAGAGTGTGGTTAGTGTTGGTAAATGACGTCACAGCTAGTTATCGACATGGCAACAAGCTAGAAAGACTGGGATCCCGGATTTACAATGATATAAACGATTTTTCCTCTAATCCTTTTTAAAAAATCATGCCAAAATCACATAAAAATCATATCAAACACTTATATTCATGATTTTGAAGTATGATTTAGACATGATCCATTAAATGGATTATATAAAACTCATAGATATGGCAACTAAAGAAGTGTGATCCTAATGTGGTTTGTTTGTCGGATATGAGTCTGCTATGATTTTCTTGCGATTCTGGCATGTGCTAATAACTTAGAAGACAAAGAAATCTGTAAAAAGTATTACCAATGTCTCCATTGGACTCCCATTGGTAACATTGGTAAAATTGTTACATTTGTATGCCAATACCCGTTCAGGGTTTATTGGTACAGTTGGTACCATTGTCAAATTATTGTACCAATGGTATATTGAAAGTTGGTACTAATGGTAGAACTGTGAACGCACCCATCGTTTAACTGTGAAATTTACTGAAAAAGTATATTTACACATTATTTATGAGCTAGGTAAATAAGATTTTGGCTTTAAAGCGTTTAAAAAAGACTGATAAATTTGTTTTTGTTTTTGATTTTTAGATATATCTCTTTTTAAGAGATTGTTTAAAGTTTCCAATACTTCCACTGTCGGTCGTTATGAAATATGTTTCCATGACAACCGTTGCTAGGTCAAATCATTGCACACGTTTTTTACCTGTTATACACCAATATCTTATAATACACAAAGTTTCATTGAAATCTGAGACATTCCGTGGCCGAAGGATTTTGAAAGTTACATAGCATCAGTGTTAAAACTCCACTTAGACACTGTGGGGTATAGTATTTGTCACTCAATATCTCAAAAATAAGTCTAGAAACCTATTGATATATATGCTTTTAAGTATGTAGGACATACTATATTAGAGATCTACAAAATATGAAAAAAATTGAACGACAGGTATTTTTTCAGCTAAAGGTCCTTCGATCTTCCCCTTAATTTGGAGAAATCGAAAGTAGTGTTCCTGATGTAAACACAGGAGCATAATTCAACGAAAATGAAGGAAAATTCGGTAAGTAATGCAAAAAAAATGTACAAATTACGTAAACATCCATATAAGTCACTTTTGGATGACATACCTGTTTCCCTAAAATAGCTAAATGGGTACAAAAAACAAAAGTAAGTAAATTTATTACAAATGAATATCCAGATGTCGTCTGCATGATTGACTGTTTATATCAAGTGATCTTGCTAGGCATTGAATAAAATATGGAAAGTTGCTAGCGTTTAAAATCAGTTTTTTTTTTTGTTTATCATAATCAGCACCCGAATTACAAGTGCTGTAAAAACTATAAGATATTCGTCCTTCAAATTAAAATTATTTTTCTCTCTTTTTGCATCAAAAATTAAAAGACAAATAAATTCCATTTTAATCCAATTCTAACTTTATAAATGTTAATATAAATATACGCGGGTTACATGTATGTATAATTTTCTGTAATATAAACTGTGACATTCATTCCCGTACCAATAACCAAGGAAAGCTTTTTATTGTTTAACTTTTAAAACTTATCTTTAGAAAATTATATTAAGGTATTTGCAATAAACTAAATAATTTATGGAATAAAACATCGATTTTCGTCAATATTTTTTTTTTCGTTTTTCTAAGCAATTGTGCCCGAAATAGCACACCATACAAATAACTCAGATTTTGATGACGTACCACGAATCTACGAGACGCATGATTTTTCTATTGTGGTGTGAACACCACACATTTTAAGGTGAATTTTGACACAGATAACCGATGAAATTTGAACAATTTTTTTTTACTAAAGAAGAGATTAGACCTCACTATTATTAAATCACAATAAAAATAAGCTGAAAGTTATGGCAAGTCAAACGTTGCAATATTCGATCTTTTCCATTTGTATTGTATGAGTTTTATTTGTATTCTATAATTCTCCATTTGTATTATATAATTTTTCATTTGTGTTATATAATTTTTATTTGTATTCTATAATTTTCCATTTGTATTGTATAATTTTCTATTTGTATTGTATAATTTTTATTTGTATTTTTATAATTTTATTTGTATTGTCTAATTTTCCATTTGTATTGTATACTTTTTATTTGTATTGTATATTTTTTTATTTGTAGTGTATAATTTTTTATTTGTATTGTATAATTTTTCATTTGTATTGTATTATTTTTATTTGTATTCCATAATTTTTCATTTGTATTGTATAATTTTTCATTTGTATTGTATTATTTTTATTTGTATTCTATAATTTTCCATTTGTATTCTATAATTTTCAATTTGTATTGTATAATTTTTCATTTGTATTCTATACTAGTATTTTCCATTTGTATTGTATAATTTTTCATTTGCATTGTATCCGAGGGATTGTTTATTTTGGTTTGTTACGAAGCCCCCCCCCCTCCCCCCGGTTCCGACGCCTATGAGAGTGTCTTTTTACCTTTTTTTTTGGTTGGTTAAGCCCCCCCCCCCCCCCTTTCAATTTGCTTTCGACGCCCATGCTGTGATCTGTTTTGGTTTCCAGTCGGAGAAACAAAAACAGATCGGGCATCGGCATCCTCACAACGTCAGGGGTCCTGAGTCAACACGTTGCCGTTGGACCCCTGACTTATGTGGGTTGACTACAGCGACGTCTTTCGGGGAAATTACAATCTCTCGACCAATCAAATTAAGCCAAACACATTACCTTTCGGTAAGACAGCCAATATGGCCGATATAGAAGTTGTAAACAGAATTTGTCAGAAATTCAATCTGAAGTCACTTACAGATCAACAAATTTCGGCGATCGATGCCCTGAAGAAAGGAAACGACACATTTGTTGGGACAAAGACGGGGAGTGGGAAATCTCTGGTCTACGAAAGCTCGCCGATTGTTTTGGGAGAGAATGGTGTTACAACTGTGCTTGCTCCGCTGAACAGTATTATGTCTGAACATATAGAGAGACTGAACATGCTTGGATACAGAGCTGTGCAAGTATCGAATGACACTGATAAGCAAGCTGTTATGAACGGATATTTTCAGTTCGTGTTTGGAAGCCCCGAACTTCTCGTCGGTGATGACAAATGGAGAGAAGTTTTGAGAAATCCAATCTTCACATCAAAACACCAATTGATTGTGGTCGATGAGGCCCACACCGTAATTCAATGGTAATTTAATAAGAATACATCAACCATTTGAATATAGAATAATTGCATCACCTTGAAATTGCCCCTTTTTAACAATGCATGTTTTAAAACTTCCTCACATGTCAAATGATGTTTCTTTAATTTAATTTAGTTTTCCAGGAAATCGATTATTAATTTATTAAAATTGAAAGTTTGTGTATACTTTTAGGGGGCTAGAGCATCAACAAGAAGGGCCATTTCGAGAGTGGTTTGCTCACATAGGAGAGATGCGATCACTTTGCATTGGGGTACCTATACTGGCGCTCACCGCGACAGCTAGCCCCACACACAGACGCCAAATTATGCAGAAACTGTGTTTTCGTCATCCATCCTGTGTAATTCTAGACAGTCCAGATAGATCAAACATTAAATTGAATGTACTGAAAGTGAAAAATAATGTAGAATTAGAAAATGTATTTCAGTGGTTAACAGCTGCATTAGTTGAGAATGGGCAAGAATTACACTTATTACAGAGGCATCTAATATTTTGTAACTCAATTAAAGACTGTGCTATGATTTATATGCTGTTCTTAAAAATCTGTGGGCCTACAAATATTTTAACATGTATCACAGTAAAACAACTGATGCCACTATTGCCCACTAAAGAAAAAATCCGTAAAGACATGAATGAAGCGAATGGTAGTATAAAAGTGTTAATATGTACAAATGCAGCAGGGATGGGAGTGAATTTCCAAAACTTAAATAACATTGTTCATTATGGTCCACCCAGAGACCTTGACAATTTGGTGCAGCAGATGGGCCGTGCCGGCAGGGATGGATCCCCATCAAATGAACTGATTATCTACAAGGCAAATCAATTACAAAAGGTGGATGATGATGTGATTAAGCTTCTTAAAAGTACTAGTACCTGTAGGCGAAAAATTCTAAATGAAGCTTACATGAAGAAACACACAAGAGATTGTGATCACCTCTGTTGTGACATCTGTGAATTAATGTGCAAATGTCAAAGTGATGGTTGCCCGTCAAAGCATTCTGCAAAGGAAACATTTTTGAATTTGAGAGATGAAGATAATGAACTAGACATGAGAAGAGAAATAGGAGGAGAAGAGAAAGTCATTGTTCA